TGTGATGTGCATCGCTATTGATTATATTTATTGAAGCGGCAAATTTCTCCCTGTTCCTTATGGACCCGTGGCAAGTTATCTAATTCGGCCAATAATCCTCTTGTGTTGCCCTCCAGAGGGCTACTACTAGTTATTAGTAGGATGATGGTGTTGGCCGTGATGATGACAGTGATAATAATGATGGTGAGCAGTGGTAATTTTGATGATGAGAGTGGTGGTGCTACGGCAGAAGCAAAATCTTCATTAGTGGGACACTGCATTGTTGATGCTTACGAGAACAAACTTTCAACAATCGATCATTTCAACAACCTTCCAATTTCCTATTATCCGCTGTTCAAATTTTTATTTCTCCTTTTTCTTGGCTAGAGATTTTCTGTAGGAAGGCAGCATCTCCTTCATTCCTCTCCCTTCTCATCATCTTTCAACCCAACTGCGTCGTTTCATGGAAGCTGTGAAAGGAAGCGGAAGTGTAAAAACAGTGTTGGGCATAGAAGGAGGACATCAAACGTAATCGAAACTGCCTTCCCAACATTTCAAATCCCTAGCCTATGCATTCCGCATTTAAATTATTGATAGGCACGTACGCAAGCACGAATACGAGATGTGCATAATGGCAAGGTAATTTCAGCGTGTGTTATGACAAATCAGCTTCGGAATTAAAAAGCCAGAAAGTGAAACTTTGGAACCCATCTGAACTTCTTTTTCCCTTCTCCTCAGCTAGGATATTCGTAAATTTTAACTTGAAATATTTTCTTATCGTCAGCTCTGACCTCGCGCTCGAAGTCCAAAAAATCTTTTATGTAATTTGATAACGACCAAGCCCACTGCTCGGGGATGTTTAAACTTTTTCGTAATATTTGCTGAATGTCACAGTTTGCTGGTTTCAGTGTATTTTGGTTTTAGACCTAAACTGAGGCAGACTTGATAGCAAATAGCAAGCTAAAAATTCTGATGTTCGCAACTACTAAATGATTTGGAAAGGCAGATCACAATATAATTGCATTCTGAATCTACCAGAGCTGCGTCCAAGATTTGTCCGCACTGAAGAACAACAAAAACGGTGCTGCTAGCAGCTGTGAGATTTGGGTTACGTCAGCTGAGTATGAATTGACTGAAATATTTAGCACTGCACGAAGCGTGCACTAATTTTCAGCCATAAAGAATACCCAGGTATTCAATTTCAAGTAGATCTTGCGTAGGTATTGTTCATGAAGTCGTGCATTCTGACGAGTCACTGTTGCAGGTGCACAACAGTTGACTTAGAGTTTTCAGAACA